TAATGTGCGCTGGTAGGAAAAAAAACTTTCCTGTGTCCACATAAGACCTGCTTAAACGTCGCTCTAACCGAAAGTCATGCGGGCTGCATCTATCAAACATTTGCATTCTGAATATTTGACGTTACCTGGAATGCTTGCGCAAGCAGCATAAAGCATAAATAGCCAAGAGCTGGATTCAATTTCGCCAGTGAAAAATTTATACACCGTATTTTCCGGAAAAGAAAACTGTCCTGCATCCACACATCCACAGAGCACTGGCGCTCGTTGGTGTTTTATGTAATATTCATTGATTCTGCTATGTGTCGGTGTAAATATACGGATAGGAAATGGTAAAGGCGGTGCGATGGCTCGAGAAAAAGGCTAGATTTTAAATATACTGGAGGGTATTCCTTCGTTCGGAACGTGATTTTGCACTTTCTAGAACTGAATGAGGTTTCCAGTTTCTCCTACTTTAGACATCAAATTGAGATTGGTTCTCTACAACTTATCGGAAGGAAACTAGATTTGACAAATTACCGTCGTTATTGATAGACAAAGCTCACGGAAATTTCAAGGTGTAAACATTTTCCCATTACAATACCTATCTTTCTCAACCTGGGAAGGTAAAATATGTCTTACATTTGAAATGTATATAATTTGGCGATATGACTAGACATATATTAAAATTCTTAAAAATGTAATCAAGTAGATTGCTTCAGTACTTTCCACGCAATGATACAAATCAATTTAAAATTTTACATACACGAAAATTCTTGGTGCCATTCGTGATTAAATAAATTTGACAATTGTCCCACTTAAACATTTTATATCTAAATAAAACTTCCTCTATTATGAGAATCAACTACTGCGGAGAGCGCTTTGCTGCTATTTCTTGGAACTGTGAAGTTCTCGATTTACGTTTAATAGACTAGTCACAATGTGGTGTACTTGACATTGGATATACTAAACATGATGTTTTCGTCCGTCGGACCAAAAGAGAGTCAGCCATGGACAGCTGTTTCATGCTCCTTGGCTACTTATCAGCATGGTCTAGGCTTGGCCACTCCAGGAGGTACGGTCTATTATTCGTTCTCCCAGAGATGACAGACCAAGCCCAGAACATGCTCATGAGCCACGAAGTATGAAACAGCTGTCCATGGATTGCTGTATGTTGGTCGGGCTGATGAAAGTATAATGTTTGGGTTATATTCTAAACATTTTTTTTTCGATTACGCCCTAACGCGGCTAGAAAGATGTCGAAATTTTTGATCCCTTACCACAAATTGAAAAAAGGGAAAGGCTATAATGGAGTCGAATCTTAAGTACGATACATCGTAAACCTTTACATCTAAACCATAGAAAATAAATCGTATTCTTGTTGCAATGACAAACGTATGCAGAATATGTGTGACTTTATGTCTAACAGGTGCGAAGTGACTAGAAGCTATTCCATAACAGAATGTCAGTAAACGACACTGATACTAGGTATGTCACATTTTTATGCACACCTACAGCTCCCAACTGCAGTTGTCACCCCCTCAAAATTCTTAAAATGAGCAGAAGTCTCTGAGCTGACGACAAATGAAACTTCTGCATTTTTTTTGTTAATACGAGTAGCTCCTTGACTACTAGATCAATTTCCAAAATCCATAAAGCTTTATTTATGACGTATCTTGAAAAATGACATTAGGTTGGTTTTTTATGACATGACGTAGGATTTTCTACAAAATGTTAACTTAGCACTAGCTGATCGACACACCTGTAAACTCGTTTTGCAGGTGTACGTGTAGCCTGAACGTTGCTTCAGTTATCAATGTTTCGTTCTGATGTGATGTATCATTTGCTTCAGAGGTGGCATTATCTCCGTCTAAACTGTAAGTTGTATACTGTAGCCGGAAGGAAACGGCAGTATATAGGTGCATAGTGAGGATTTGTGTGCTAATAATATGTGTTGATGATAATTCCGTTGGTTTCTTGTCTCAAATGCAGTTACTTGCTAGAAATTAGTTGCGCATCCACTTTCTCTTATTCATTCTGGAAATTACATATGCAAATTTACTATATGAATAACCTGTCGGGCACAGCTAATAGATATACTTCATTGGCAGCATATTCGGTAATAATTTTCTCAGATATCAAATATCACTGATTTTATACACATGCAGACCAATACACATAATCATCCAGATGCAATCTTGCTACTCAACCAAATTTCTTGCTTCCACATCTTCTCGGAGATAAACACTACAGACTACTCGGCTTCACAAAACATATACCAACAATGCATGTCATGCTTCTATAGATGGATGATCATAGCGATCAAACGTGGAATGAAGTATTTGCACCCTAGAAACTACCTAGTCTGCAAGACGACATATCGTTGGTTTTTGTGGCGTTTCCTAGGTTTTTTATATAATACCCCTGCCGAATGCCTACTAGCTTTTTCAAAAAGATACCAGATTTGCCAGCACTACAGACTATTATCCATCACGTTTTGGCGTCTACTGAGGGAACAAATGATTAGCAAGTGACACCTTGGTATTAGTCTGTAACGTTGGCAATAATGAGTCTGGTGTATATCTGGTAAAATTCAGGACCGTATTCAGAGCTGTTGCTTACATATCTAGATACTTTTTGTAACTGGGATTTTTGACAATAAAATATACGAAGTACACACAGAAAAATGTTTTTTAGAGCATTATTATAGTACATCTGGGATTTATTGAGTAGGAAATAAGTAAGTAGCTGTGAAAAGCGAGCAGTATAAAAGTAATATAGACAAGTGTTTCTGGTTAATTGTCCGTCATCAGTGTGACGTAATTCAAATATGGCTGCTTCATTGTCCTTTAAAATCATATGGGGTTTCAAGTTCTGACTTGAAATGTAGTCATAATCATTAGCAGCCTTTTTGCTTGTAGCATTGTTTTGCATGTGATGGAACTTTTCTAATGAAAAGGTTGTTAGCAAGTACAAAACGAATCCGTAGCGTACAAAAAAAAAACAACAAAATACGGCCCAGTCTAATGTTTTGGCACAAAATTGATTGACTTCAATTCTAACAATCACAAAATAATATCAAGTTGTCTTTGGAAACAAAAGCTTGTTTACTTACGTTACTGTCAGTTGACATTTATTTATTTAGAAGTTTTCGCTTCAAGATGTCGTATAAATTAGAAATAAGAAACAGTATCTACGAGTTGGTTGGGTGGGTACCCAAGGTTGAAATCTGTCGAATATTCCAGAATGAAAACATCTTACGCAAAACCATTCATCAAGCAATAGCTGAATCTCCCAAAAAGTGGAAGACCACGTGCATTTAGTGCACCGAGGTAAGAGAGATTGGAGAGAACAGCAAAAAATCTATTCGGAATTTCAACCAATGGACTGGCTCGTCAATACAGATCTTCTAAGAGTACAATATCATTGGAATTGAGGAGGAATGGTCTTAAGTATCAAAATAGACTTAAGTGCCCCAAATACTCTCAAGCGCAACTCCTTTGTATACCAAGGTGCTGTCGTCAACTGAGGCGGGTACACTTTGCCAATGGAAAAATCATTTTAGGTGGCGAAGAGTATTTCACGTTGAGTAATTCTGAAATTAAGGGCAGTGAAAAAGACAGTACCGGTAATGCACGGCTGTCAAGTGATACAAAGTACATGCATCCGCTTCCGACCGCCATTCACAACACAATCCGCTCGTACTCCACTATCCCGCTGTAGTGTGCATGTGTGAATAGGAGATGATCCTCTTTCGTTTTTAGCCTGGAAAGAGTATTATTTCCATAAGATAAAGAATAGTTCTTTATTTTTGTTTTAAGATAACTCGGGTTGTCCTTGTACCTGAGTTTACTTAGGTATTAAGTAGCCATTCGGTAATGGTTAATTTTCGTTTACAGTTTATTCATGCTTGATATTAACTGGCGTCATTTTTTTATGTTCATGATAAAATCAAACTATATTGATTATATATCAAAGTTCAAATAAATAAATGCGAGGTACTCAATTTTGGTTACGTTATTATAATATTATAGAAATATACGGTAGGTATTGAGACAGTCAAGTAACTTTAAATAATAAGAGTGTGGTAGTATCTACACTTCCTACGCAACGCTGTCATCCCCCCTCTAATAAAAAAATCTGGCTACGAACATATATAACAATAAATAAACGGATCAAGTTAGTCCAACATACTCATAAAACTGAAATTTGCATGTCTTTTTGTAAAATTTTGGGGCACTTTAGGATTTGGCTCCCTGAGAAAATATGCTCTCCCCGCTCTTCAAAAAGTTTTCTAGGCAGTTACTTTTTCACACAAAAGTTACCTCTTGTTGCTGGATGGCCCTCCCCCTACCACTGAGAGAAATTCCTATACATCAGGCGTGGATGACGATCAGTTCACATACAGTCGAGCAGCGGAGGCCGACTGCTACACACATGCATCGGAATCAGAAATATTTCTCCACCATTCTAAGATTCAAGGATCAATGTACACATGTTTGCCACCTCCTACCACGTCCTTACCCCCAAATTGTTTATTCCTTAAAATCCCTCCAAAAATAATCAGGATCCTCTGAAATGTCAAAAAACAAATTTTGAGCGATTTTTATATTTTGCCTCTAGCTCCGCCGCCTCTGAATCGATTTTTGAAAACTATAAAGCTTTTTCGACTTTGGCATAGTAGTAAACTTGTAAAAATTTAATCAAAATCTGACTGGTACTTTCCAAGTAATCGAGGGGTCAATCATTAGAGGACAGACAGACAAATCGTGGCGTAGGACGTGAAACTAAGTATTTTTATTTCTCATTTAAAAATAAAACATGTTAAAATATTGTCGAGGGCTAATTACATTATCTGTTTTCATACAATACTACCGCTCGACTCCATTACCCTTTGAAATGTCTCGGAAATGATAAGCCTGTGTCTGGCAACCCTAAAAAAACCTGATAAAAATTGAGCTGAATAATGAAGTTAATATAAATATATATATAAATATATATATATATGTGATTCTTTATTACAGAAAAAAGAGGGAGCATCAAGATGCGGCCATGCATTGCATGTGGGAGGCCGTTGTGACACCATGAACTCAACTGCGGCGGTGAACACGTCTATGATCGATGCTCCTAACGAGGGTAACTACACTGTCACGCAGATCGTCTTAATAGGAACTATTGGTAAGCATAGATATCCATTCATTCGAATCATTGCATGTATTTGTTATAAAGAAAGACCAGTAGGCTTGCGTAAAATTAAATGAAAACCAAAGGACAATTATGAGCATGTCCACAATAAAATAACAAAAGCAGAAATAATAACGATAGGTAACCAGAGCGACGTACGTTTCTCCTTATTAGCTTCACCAAGCCCAAATGGAAGTGCATTCAAAACACCAAAGTGAAAACTCATACCCATCACATCTGGATACAGTATTAACCTGAAGAAAAACAAGGATGGAAAGGGAAATACAACAAACTAATAATTATAATAATAATAATAATAGTATTATTATTAATAATAATAGGTCTTAACTAAGGAATACATAATAATATATAATTCGGATACTAGAAAAAAATATTCAACTCTTCCCCACGAAGTGAATAAATTCAGTTGTGCAATGAATACTCGTTTATACAAAAATGTCTTCATACAGAACATGGTACAATAAAACTTAATGAGAACAAAGAGGCTAAAACAGTAAAATATAGATAGCTAGAGTTCAAAGTACGATGATTAGATAATACAAACTAAACAAGATCATAAAAACAATAAAGGTGTAAACCCACTGTTGTCCGAGACAGTATAGCTATCCAAATAACCACCTTTTCTTCTTAAAATTATTTGTAGAAAGCGATATGATTTGTCAAAAATACGGCCCGTAAGAGCCTCAGTGTTCGGTCTTAGGACCAATCCTTTATTCACTTTATATACATGACGTCCCTTGCCCCAGCAACTGTGGAGTCTATCTCTATGCTGACGACATTGCATTGCTAGCCCAGTCTTGTTCTGGTAACCTCGTTCACGACAGGCTGCAGAGTGCGGTGGAGGATGTATTGGAGTGGGCGGATCGGTGGTTGATGACCCCTCGGAGATATCAGTGATTGGAACTAGTATCCCATGGGAGCAATCTGTCAGGTTTCTTGGAGTCATCATTGACAAGGGGTTGACCTGGCTAATACATACTGATATTTTGAAAACAAAATTCCAAATTACCTTTCGGCAGCTTTATCCTTTGTTGTGCAGAAACTCAAAATTAAGTTTGTCCAACAAGATTCGGTTGTATGAAATGCCAAGACGCACTCGCAGAGACTGCAAGTCCTGCAAAACAGAAACTTACGCACAATTACTAACGCCCCTTGGTACGTGTCAAATGAAACCGTTCACAGAGATCTTGATATCCCATATCTAAGGGATTATGTAAAACAACAGGCGTAGCGGCGTTATAATCAAGCGGAATCGCACAGCAACCCTCTGTTGCGTGATTCAGTAGACTACACAGTCGAGCAAGTTCGCAAACATTCCAGGCCGCGCCTCGCACTGTGATCAAAATTAAACTGTAAATTCAGACCAGCCAAAATTATTTCAGTATACAAAACCGACCAAAATTATTTTTTGGGGATACAGTAGTAGTCAAAGCAATAATGCTTAAGCTATTTCAAATGACTTACTTCTTCTCTTTGCTCTATTTCTTCCTTCCTTTCTTTCCTTCTTTCCATTTTCCTCTTAAACAGACTAACAGACCGACGAGACTTTTAACTAAGAGCAAAGGTCCACCGGGCCGCTCTGACGAATAATGACTAATGACGAATAATTATTTTAACAGCTTGTAGAACTCGTCAAAAGAAGTTGATATACGAAAAATCACCTATATAAAGTTGCATAATAAGAGAGTTAGTCTAAATTATCGAAAATTATTAAAAAAAAATCATTATCAAGTTAAATGGATACCGTTTTTACAAAAACTGTTTAAAATTTTCCCCATTTTTTTGAATTAACGGAAAATCTTGCTCAATGAATTCACGACTCTTTACAAGCTTCGGAAATAAAATCCTGGAGTTCACGAATTAAATCACAAGCATTTTCAGTGCGCTGTTGAAGTTCTTCTAGAGTATTTGCTGCTCCATCATAATACACCAATTCTTTCAAATAGCTCCACAGGAAAAATCGCAAGGTGTTAAATCCGGGGCAGGTTGTGTAGAAGAAAATTTAAATTAATTTCACCGGTCAGCCGAGGTGTAAAAAAGTGGAGTCCAATAAGCATGTCATTTAACACGCCAGCCTAAACATTTAAGTCTATGTTCAAAATGAGTTATTTTACAGCATGCGGATTTTCTACTGCCCAAAAATGATTGTTGTGAAAATTGTGCACTTCATTTCGTGTTACTGAGGCCTCGTTTGAACACAAAATTAATTTAGGAAAATCTTCATTCCTGCCGAACTGTTCTAAAAGCCACTGGCAAAATGCAACTCTTCTAGGATGATCTTCAGGTTGTAATGCTTGGACCCGCTGATAATGATAAGGATAATAGCGTCCTTGTCATATTATCTTCCACACTTTACTATGAGAAACTTACGTACGTATTCGTCGATGGATCGTCTTCGACCATTTATAAAATGTCTTCCTAAATTTGTAACTTTTCAGGTTGAGCAGGTCTCGCAGCGTGACCTCCTCGTAGCTTTTTTAAATATCATGTGTCACAAAGTCTAATAAATAAATTTACAAACATCCGTGGGGTCGGAAGGTTTCTAATAGGAACCTTTCCGCATGCAACCTGCATGCTGCTTTCGCACAAAATAATCAGACAAATGAAGGTATACGCACTATGAAAAGACTGATACAACTGATCAAACCAAAGACTCGTACTGAACACCTTAAATAGTTGGTATATACTGTAGTCAAATCTTCACTTCGACACAAACGACTTAGTTCACCGGCCATCTCAGTTGCTTTTGATGTTTTAATTAAGGCTTCCTTCGTCGCTCTAATTTAATCAGTGTATATCTAGTTGCTTAGGAATCAGTGACAATTAGTGGTTTTGGGATCGATGGTTATTGATTGAGGGCGGTGAATGTATCGGATATGAATTATTGCTAAATTATAAACCTCAACAAGGGTGGGGATTATTGGTTCTCGGGGTATAGAGTCATGTGGGGTAACTGTACGCAGCGGGCAAGTGTCTGAAGTGAACAGCGTGCGAATACCACGGTTGACAACTTGTCGAGACCTGCCGCATTTAGTTCCCTGTTGACCGCCAAGCGAAGGTAGTGCGTCACAGGTTTGCCGTACAGGGCTGCGGATAATTATTCGACGATATTATTTTTGCATAGATATATTATTAATGTTCGTGAAATTCATTTGCATGGTGAAAATGTTACAATTAGTCTAATTGTATATACAAAGTGATTGTGAACTGAAGAAATTAATCAATATTTTCTTAGTATTTGCGTGTTTTCTCTAAGGTAAGTCGTACTTATTTTTATTTATAATTTCTGTTTGCTTTGACGGGATGGGGAAAGTTTACGCGGGTAAGTGTCCGCAGTAATAAAATGCGTATACATACCCCACTGAAGTAAATTCAATGTTTCAAGTATTATTTTTACGTTCTAGATTGAAAATGCGTCGCAAATATATAAGAAAATGTCCTGATCGGAAAATTTGTACTCAAGAGCAAATTAATACAGCCAAGAAGTTGATTGAAGAGGGAAAATTGAAATGCAAAGCAGCCGAAATTGTTGGGATAGATGAAAGTACGTTAAGAAAACGTTTGAAACTTAATTCCACTGCAACGTCAATGGGAAGATATCAACCTTCTTTTACGCGGGAACAAGAGGTATGTTATTATTAACTACTTATTATGACCGTACGGTAATAAATAATTGTTATAGATGTACGAAACTATTAAAATTGATACTTTATTTTGTTTTTAGGAAGAAATTTATAATCATTGCAAAGTTTGTGATGAGAGGTTCTACGGCATCACTCTTAATTCTCTAAGAAAATTAGCTTATAAATTTGCAGAAGTAAACAAAATAAGCAACAGATTTGATAAAACAACAAAAATGTCTGGTAAAGACTGGGTCTATGAGTTTATTAAACGACATCCGGATTTGGCTGTAAAGCAAACTACACCTACGAGCTTAGCAAGAGCCATTGGTTTTAATCAAGTAAATAGATTTTATACAAACTTGAAAGAGTGTCAAGAAAAACATCACTTTCCTCCAGGCCGTATATATAATATGGAAGAAACTGGCATAAGCACAGTGCCCGAAAAGGCACCTAAAGTAATTTCCTTTAAAGGAAAAAACATTTTAATAAAAATGTTTTCGGAGAACGTGGACAAAGTATAACCGTGGTTTGCTGTGTCAGTGCAACTGTAAATTATTTTTCCTCGAACAAGAACGAATGATGAACTCATGGATGGAGCTCCAATTGGAAGTTTTGGTATGATATCTGATTCTGGGTTCATCAACACGAATTTATATTTGCAGTGGCTGATTGATTTCAGGGACTATACTGTCGATAATCCTGTGATACTCGTTATTGACAATCATTCAAGCCACATTAGTCTGCAAGCTACCTTGTATTGCTGACAGAATAACATCAGTGTACACCTCACAGCAGTCACAAGTTACAGCCCTTGGATAGGGCTATTTACAGTCCTCTGAAAAATCAGTACGCAATAGAAGATGATAAATGGATGGCACAACATCTCGGTAGATCTATAAATCAATACCAAGTATATTCGATTTTCGATAGAGCCTTTAAAAAAGTTGCTACTGTTGGTAACGTAGCTTCCGCATTCAGGGTCACTGGTACATATCCATATGATGTCACCCTGTTTACAGAAGCAGACTTCGCACCATCCTCAGTTACGGATATGTGTTGTCCATCTGAAGCTGTCACTCAAAATCCATCTACTTCAAATTCTGTAGCTACAGTAGAAATTCAAGATAGGCAAAGTCATCGAGCTTTAGCTATTACATCTAAGTGCATCACTAGCTGAACAACACGTCATTGTAACTATTGAAGTGGATAATCAACAAAGTTCAACACTACCTAGCCAACGGAACAAGGAAGCTGCAACTGAAATTAACAAAGCTAATGAACAATTACACGCACTTTCAGATCCAATGGATATAATAGAAGAATTTCAGGAGCAACAAATTATTTCGCACTCTGTTCTTCGTAACATTTCGAATGATAACCAGTCTCATATTTCCTTAATCGATATAATCCCATTACCAAAGGCGATACACATTCAGACACGACGCAAAAATCCTAGCAAGCCGGAAATAATCACCGATAGTCGTTTTAAAACTAAGTTGGAGGAGAAACAAAAACAAATTGATCAAAAATCTAATAAGATTGGAATACCAAAGATGGACATGAAAAGCAAAAGCAATCCAAAGAAGAAATATAATATTAAGAAAGATAAGGCTACAGATAAATCTTCGAAACAAGAATACTATTGTCCGGTTATGTCGAGAAAAGTACGGAGATACTGCTGAAGTGTGGATCGAGTGTACAATTTGTAAATCTTGATGGCACGAAGCCTGTACCAGTTACGAGAGTAGCATTATTTACTTGTGATCTATGTGCAATGGGTTAAGTTTCTGTTGTGCGTACACTTTGTCGTTGTTGCGTACACTTAACCGAAGGCATGCGGACACTTTCCCACTGATGAGGGTAAGTGTCCGCATTTCTCTTGTTGATTAAAAGTTTTAATTAAAATAACAATTATTATTAGAATTAAAAATTTACGTTTTGTTTTTGTTACATTAGATTAAACGTTGATTTCTTTTCAATTAACTAAAACTTTTATTCTGGAAGTAATTTACTAGAAATTGCGTACAGTTACCCCACATGACTCTACTATGATATTACAGCCTAAGCTCCAGCGACACTCGACCTTACGTCATCGAAAATTTTGTTGAGAATGGTATAGGAGTGTAGCTGGTAATGGGAGGAATACAGGAAACCAATTGCGGGCGAGTATATCGTCTTGCAAAGTTCCACAATTACAACTTATTGAAAATTGCTCCCAGAGGTATCCAAATCTGGTTCGATCCAAAGCAAGGGCTAAAGCCAATTAGCCAATTTTTCAGATCGATAGGTCGCCCCTGGTAACACCTAACCTCAAAAACGCGTTTTATCGAAAATATTTTTTACGAGAGCGCATGTTAAAAAATGTTCAGAAAATTACCAATGTTAACATTGTTGTTTCCTAAATAAGCGTGATTTTTCAAAGATTTGTGGAACTTATAGATTCGAGCTAACATTTTTGATGACTTTTTTCAATTTTTGGTTGGGTTAGCATTCTAAAAACTTGAAAACCCTCTGTGTACATCTTTTCAGATCCTCTAACAAAATCATGATTTTCTTCTGGACATTTTAAACCAAGAATATCATAAGTTGGCTAACTTAAAAACCTAACGTACACAGGGTGTTTCAAATTTTATCCTTACCATTGGGATCTCGGAAACTGTAAGAGATACTAAGTCGTTTAAATGGGGAAACAGTTGACAGGAAATTAAGAAGATACCGCTTAGAAGGCTTAGACATTCAAAGAAGTTCCGGAGAGTTCCCTGACTCTGTTTGTAGTGGGATTTTAGAATAACTTGCACATCAATACTTTTACTCCTCTTAAAGATAGCATAATTAGAACTTCAATAAAATAAAAAGAATAAGAAGATCATAGCAGATATTCAAAGTGTCCGTTATGTTGTAGGCAAAGCCTGAGACTCTTTTCTGTATATTGCTGACTGCTTGATTTATTTCTGTTCTTCCCAGTCTTCTAAACTTTGTTGACGTGTTCAATTTGACGTTTGGTCTGGTATATGAATATGATAATTTCAGGGCCAATTCTGTTTTATGAAATAAGTAAGGTTTGACAATGTCAATGTATGTCATATTTTAATTTTTGGAATCCAAATCAAAAACTTAATTCATCTGCGCTAAAATCCAATATTGCATTTGTAAGAAAAAAATAAGTTGATGCTGGAGGACAAGAGACGAAACGTCATATTGGAATTCTAATTATGCCATCTTGTAGAGGAGAAAAAGTGGCAATTTTGATGTGCAATTTATTTTAATATCTCACTACAATTAAAGTCAGTCAAAAACTAAAACGATTTTGGGAAAACTGTTTTTTCGTCTCTTTCCGGAAGTGCCTTGAATTTCGAAACTTTCTAAGCAACATTTTGTAATTCGTATTTCTTACAGTTTCCGAGATCCCAATGGCAAGAGTCACAGGAAGCTCTCTCTCTCTCTATATATATATCTATCTATATATATATATATATATATATATATATATATATATATATATCTTTTGTTGGGTACTTCGGCAAAATTCAAGAGGACTCTTTATACTCTATTAATCTCTAGCTTTCAATGGACTTTGCCATCTTTATCAGGAGCTGCAATAACATTGAGAAGAAATAGCAACTATTGTGCAAAATGATTTTAAATTAACTTACAGTAGTATGTGAGGTTTTTGCTAAATTTTATTAACGTTTTGGTTGAGGGATACACCCAGTAACCTGGTGAATGCTGGATACATGGTACCTTTGTCAAAATTAATATAAACTACACTGATTAATATGTCAGGAACAAATTAAAACGGATTAAAAATATTTAAAAACGAAAGTTAAAATTACATCATGAACCACCTGATGCAGCACAAAATATTGGGCACAGGATCACAAGTAGGATGAAACATTTGACAGGTGTCATAAGGTTTGTAGTGTCAGTGTCGATGGATAGAACGAAATGTTTATGTAAAGTGTGTGCTATGTTGCCAAATCACTTCAGATGGTGTTATTAGATAGATAGATATGTTAAATAAGAACTTGTCAACAGACCAGAGGCAGTTGAACAAACTATATTGTTGATGAGATGGAAAGTTGAATTAACAATTATTAATTTATTATGAGAAAAAACAATTATTAAAATTTGAATGGAATGGAAATTTTGGAGGGAAAGGGTGGAATAGACCAAAAACAGGTTCTATTTATGGTTGTGAAAAGTCGAAATTTTGAGAGATATGTACGTGTTCCAACTTTTCGCAGTTTAGCAAATATGAGTAAATGACGCTCAGTTGATTAACATCTGTCTTCTCATTCATACAGTTGTCATTCATGAAAATGTGGGACATTTTCAGGAATAAACGTTTGGATAGGTGTTTTTCTTTATCAAGAACTTTGATACTTGTGTAGTTCATAGAGTGCCCTGTAGTACTGACATGACATGAAAGAGCACATCTCTCGGGGTGAAGCCTAGAATCACTTTTGTGTGATGCAATCCGTCCTTTTAGAGATCTAGAGGTCTGGACCTATGTATATTTGGTTGCAATTATTGCAATTGTTAGAGTTGAACAAGATCTTGTTAATCAAACCCTTCGGATAACCATTGTTGATGAACAGTTTTGATAGCTTCCGTAAATTTGAAGTATGGAAAGTATTATCACAGATGCTGATTACCCTTGTTTCCATCTGCTTCAAGTTGATTTTAATCCTTAGTTTATGGTATGATCTAAAATTGAGGAAACGGCCTGAGGCCATGGGATTCTGGTACCAGTCTACCAATAAACTATTATTGTTGGTGCGGATGAGTCTTGTGTCTAGAAGCATTCACCAGGTTACTGGGTGTATCCCTTAACCAAAACGTTAGTAACATTTAGCAACAACCACATATACTACTGTAAGTTAATTTAAAATCATTTTGCACAATAGTTGCTATTTCTACTTAATGTTATTGCAGCTCCTGATAAAGATGGCAAAGTCCATTGAAAACTAGAGATTAATAAAGTATAAAGAGTCCTCTTTGCTTGAATTTTGTCGAAGTACCCAACAAAACGCGGAAGCTTTATTTTTTCACCTGACTGGTCTTAACGACAATGACCACGTCTCAAAAACAATATATATATATATATATATATATATATCCATGTCCATTTTTTTATTTGAAAAAGCACATTTTCACCGATTGTTCGAATTTGAGGCATTTTTAAAAAAATCGTATCATAACTTTGATAACCCAGAAGCTTAATCCACGCATTTTGTGTGTGAAATTATTAAAAAAAAAACAGGTTTTTGAGATCAGGCGCGCCTAGGGGCTCCATCGATTTGAAGACAATGTGATTTGGCCCAATATACTTTAATTTGGATTGATCCAGACTTTAATACCTTTGGGGGCAGCTTTCATATAAAATTTCACCTATGGACTTCACCTTTTTTGTAGAACGGAATTCCCAAACACGTTAAACACTGGCAAGGTGATTCCTATATACAGATAAGCGGATTTTTCAGTAATGAGTAATTATAGGCCAGTGACCATACCATCAACATTTTCCATACTTCATTGCTTCATGGAGAGGTTATTTTCTAAATAATAATATTTTGACTGAAAACCAATACCCCTTTCTCAGCAGAAAATATACGTCAACCGCAATGCATCGCTTTTATGGAACTTTTGTTAAAATGGTTGAAGAAGGCGAGTGCCCGATTAGGATCTTATGTGATCTTAGCAGACCATTTGACTGTGTTAACCATGAAATAATGTTGGCCAAACTATCAAAATATGGCCTAAAAAATTCTTTTTGCAAAACTTGTCTATTTTGCCTTTAGTAAGTCAAATCCTTTGACCATGATCAGTACTCACGGGAGTTAACTAAAAACTTACTTAAATCTTTTAATACCATCATAGTAGTTTCAACATTGTGATGTTTATAAATTGCTAAACGTATATGATGTTGGAATATAAGAAGGATATTTTTTCTTTTAGCTGTGATCCTGTCGATAATCACCGTCGTCGGTAACATAATGGTGATGGTGAGCTTCAAAATTGACAAGCAACTGCAGACGATCAGCAACTACTTCTTGTTCTCGCTGGCCGTGGCAGACTTCGCCATTGGCCTCATCTCGATGCCGCTCTTCACCATTTATACTTTGCTGGGATATTGGCCACTGGGACCAATTGTGTGCGACACGTGGTTGGCCCTTGACTACTTGGCAAGCAATGCGTCTGTGCTCAATCTGCTCATCATTAGCTTTGACAGGTACTTTTCGGTAACTAGGCCGCTGACCTACCGGGCGAAGAGGACTACCACGAGAGCTGCTGTCATGATAGCGTAAGTTGAAATTTGACGTATACGTATACTAGGTTAATTCTGTATATGATAATAATAATAATTTATTCACCTGTGGATCACAAAGTGATGTAGGATAAGTCAATTGAATATTTGTACGAACAGAATTGCATACATACATAAATAATATTCAAAACAGCAAATAAAAAATACGAGGTGTATATACATGTAAACGAATTAAAATATCAACAAATTAATAATTTGAAATTAAATAATGCATTAAAACAATTAAAAGACTATATCACACATTAAAAACTATTCTATAGAGTAGAAAGCTTTATCCAGTAAAATGTGCCTGATTCTTTTTTCAAATAATGTCAGCGGTAATGATTTAAGATCAATGGGTAGTTTGTTGAAGCG